TCCCCCTCCTCCTCCTCCTCTTCCCCTCCTCCTCCCTCTTCCCCTCCTCCTCCTCCCTCTTCCCCCTCCTCCTCCTCCCCTCTTCCCCCTCCTCCTCCTCCTCTCCTCTCCTCCTCTCCTTCTTTTCTTTTGTGCCTTAGATTCATCTTGGCTCTTTCCACACCCTTACTGTTGCATATAGAGTAATTGTGTGCATTCCTTGAAAAGCATCATAAAAGTCCACTTCCTGAGGGTGATTCTGGTTTGGTGCTGCTCTCAGCATTTCTGTGTAGACCTCGATCATTTCACACAAATAGCCCACAAGGTAGACGTGCTTATTGATAACTATCATCATCATTATGCCCATTTCACAGATCAGGAAACTGAGAGAAAGAGCAACAGAGTGGCTTACCAGAGATGCTGTAACCCAAAAGTGAGAATGCTTGGATTCAAATGGAAGCACCTGTTGCAGCAAAGTGTGTTACAGCTCAGTGTTACAGCTCAGTTGTGACAGCAACCTGGATCCAGGTGAAAGACAAAGCAGCACTCAGAGGATTGGAGAACTCAGGTTTATTACACCAGCTGACCCAGAGGAGTTAACACTCCAAGCTCTGGACCCCGTGTGTAGGTTTACACAGGCCTTTTATAGGCTGCCAGTCTATACTTTGCAACGTCATATGTAAATAAGGTGTAACAAAGTTGACTAATCAGGAATGAACTTTGTAGAAATGGACCAATCAGGAGTGATAGAAATAAACCAACCAGGAGTGAGCTCCAGGCAAATGAGGCATTACAAACGGACCAATCAGGAGTTAGCTCAGGGAACCAACAGAATCTTAGGGGTAACTCCCACTTTTCTAGAAGTAAGCCATTTCAGAATTAAAAAGCGAGATAATGCCACCGGGCCAGGGAACTGGATGGTGCTGGCAGGAGAGTAGGGGCCCTGCCATCTTTTTCATGGGGTTTCCCACCCTCTACCCGGATGCCCAAAGCCTGTATTTTTAGCCCTAACACCAAACTGCCTCTCAGTGAGACTGGAAAGTGGTATCAGCATGCAAAACTGACATGACTTTTCAAACTCTTCATTCAGTTTATTTCTAAGTAATTTCAAGTTGCAAGTTGCAAGAATAGGAATAGTACAAAGCACGCTCGTGTGAGTTGCTGATTTCTTAAACAAATTTCCTCATTTGCCTTATGTTCTCTCTCTCACCATCTTCCTCTCTAAATATGTTCATATAATAAAGCAAATGGAGATATTTATATCTATAACCTATATCTATCTATATAGAGATATATAGGGAAAATATACAGATATATTTATATAAAACAAATCTTCCCATATATAGAGAGTTTTTTTTCTGAGCCATTTACAATTAACTTGTACCCATCACTTTTTTAAAAAACCCTAAGTACATTAATGTGTGTTTCTTCAGCATAAAGAAAATCTCTCACATAATCACAGTCCCAGGACAGTTATCAACTTCAGGAAATTTAATGTTGACAAAATGTTTTCACATAATCTATCATAGTCCAATGTTTTCAGGGGCCCCAACAATGCCCTTTGCAGCTTTCATTGCATCTCAGCCAAGGAGCCAGGGGTGGGGAGGAGCAGGTGCTGTGTTTGGTAACCGTGTCTCTTCAGCCTTCTTTAACCTGGAACACCCCCACAGCTTTTGTTCAGCGTTTATGACACTGATGTTCAAGAAGCTTCCATCTCCCTTTTCTCATGGA